CCTGGGCCTCAGTTTCCCTGTCTGATTCTTAGGGTTACTCTTCTCTGCTGCAGGCACATAGGACAGCCCAACGAAGCCCTGAAGTTCCTAAACAAAGCGCGCAAGGACAGCACTTGGGGCCAGAGCGCCACCTACCACATGGTGCAGATCTGTCTGAACCCAGACAACGAGATCGTGGGCGGAGAGGCTTTCGAGCACCTGGTGACCGAGAGCAAGTGAGGGCCCGGCTGGCTGCGGGTAGGGAGGGAAGGCAGGGAGAGCCCTCGGCCTCTGGACTGAGGTCTGGCGAGGGCCTCGTGGGCAGGCTAGGCCAGCGCCCTCCTGCTCAGCCTCAACGCCCTCAGCTTCACCAGCAGGAAGGAGTTGGAGCAACATGGCGTGCGCACCGCTGAGAAGCTCCTGCGGGAGTTCTACCCACACTCAGCCGGGGGCCATACCCAGCTGCGGCTGCTGCAGAGCCTGTGCCTGCTGGCGACCAGGGAGAAGGCCAACGTGGAGGTGGCTCTGAGCACCTTCATCGAGATGGCCCAGGCCGAGGTGCGCTAGCTGCCAGGGTGGGCAGGCGGGCAGCATGTTGAGGCGGAGGGCCGGGCGCCCAGATGCCTGCTTCCCGCCTGCACAGAAGGACAGCATCCCCGCCCTGCTCGCCATGGCGCAGGCCTGCTCCCTGCTGAAGCAGGTCCCCAAGGCACGCACGCAGCTGAAGCGTCTGGCCAAGGCCCCGTGGACACTGGCTGAGGCTGATGACCTGGAGAGGAGCTGGCTCCTACTGGCCGATATCTACTGCCAGGGCGGCAAGTTTGACCTGGCCTCGGAGCTGCTGCAGCGCTGTGTGAAATACAACAAGGCGAGGCGTGCACCGCCGTTGGGGCTGTTGGGGGGCGGGTGGTATGTGTGTGAGAGGCACTGGGGCTTTGGGGGCAGAGATGCAGGGATAGAAATGAGATGAGAAGAGGCAGGACAGGAGGGGTCCCATGGACCACAGAACAGGATGGGAAAGCAAGGCAAGAAGAAGTGAGCAGGGTCCAGCCGCCTGCAGTGGGGACACAGAACGGGGAGGAGAGATGAGAAGGGTTCAGGAGATGGAAGGGTGGCGTGTAAGGAGGGTTTGGTTGGGTCAGGAGGGGCCTTTGCAGGTCAGAGCAGGAGGGCTGTGAAGGCAGGGGTCATTCCAGTGTAGGAATAGCTGAGAAGAGGGCACCCAGTTCACCCTCTTGTCAAGCCAGGAGGTACTGCCGGAGTCCCTGAGTGGTTTGGGTTACTTCACCCACTGCCCAGCCCTTGCCCCCACCGGGTCCCACGCTGCTCTGACCGGCTTTCCCTGCAGTCCTGCTGCAAGGCCTACGAGTACATGGGCTTCATCATGGAGAGGGAGCAGTCATACAAGGACGCGGCCGCCAACTACGAGCTGGCCTGGAAGTACAGCCATTACGCCAGCCCTGCCATCGGTACAGCAGCCGGGCCGCACGCGCACATGCAGGGGGGCCCAGGGCCGGGGGGCCACCCTCCCGACCCCACAGCACAGGGCCTGTGATCTGCTTGCGGTGGGGAGCCAGAGGGGTTCTCAGGTCATCAGAGTGCCACCCACTGTCTAAATCCTCCGTACACCTGGACAGGCTTCAGGCTGGCTTTTAACTACTTGAAAGACAAGAGATTCGTGGAGGCCATTGAAGTCTGCCATGATGTAAGCCCCTGACGGTGGTGGGACAGGGGCGGTGTGGGGCTTGGTGCAGTGGCAGGGAGCCCTATCTGGTGTTTCATACCCTTTCTTTCTCTGTCCCAGGTCCTCAGGGAGCACCCCAACTACCCTAAAATCAGAGAAGAAATTTTGGAAAAGGCCCAAGGGTCTCTGAGGCCCTAGCTGTGGTCAGTGGGAACCAGGGAGGGTGGAAACTATCAACCTACAGAAGTTTCATGGAGGGGGTAGGAAGTGGGTCAATGGAGAAGAGAGTCAGAAAATAACATATTCTTCCCCATTTGTGTGTGTGTGTGGTTTATTTGAATCAAGCCTAATCTAGTCTAAAGGACATCCCAAAGCTTTAGGTTTTTAAGGCACAAGGAGCAATTTGACTCTGAGGAGGAAAGATGTCAACCAGCTTAGCTTCCCCTGGGTTCACTGGGCAACTTCTCATGGACCCCACTTTTATCTTAGACTCTCAGGGGCCAAAAGGGAACAAACAGGTGGTTCAAAAAATACCCTACAGCTACTTTAATATTTTTCTGTAAGCCCATACCAGCCTCTTGTCTCCTCTGTGGTCCCCAGAATCCTGAATTACAGAAGCAACTGCTCCTCCCTGCCAAGCTGCCCACTGGCAGGGGGCCCAGACAGGCTCCCTCTGTCCATACATTCTGCCGCCGCCTCCTCAAGGCTTCAGCAGACCTCTGCTGGTCCTTACCAGTTTGGGAGTTTGGGACAGAGCTGATCACTCTTGCTTCGGGCAGGAAAAAATACATCCCAAGAAAAACTAACTCTGTGCTTCAGCTTCAGTGAAAGACAGTGGCCAACTAATTCATCTTCCCGGAACCCTTTAACACCTAAGGGGACAAAAGCAGGGGTCTCTTTGTAGATGAATAATGTTAACTGTGACTGGCAAGAGGGTGACAGAGGTCACCTTTGCTGTGCCCCCACTACCTCTCTTCCTGTTCTTCAGGATGGCAGTAATGGGCCAGGCTGACCGCAGGGGAAGGAGCTCTGAACTGGGAGTCAGGAGGCCTAGAATCTCCCCGTGTGACCTTCCCCTCTGGGTATGTGTCCCCATCTGTGGCAGGAAATTAGACTCGATCTCTGTGTTCTCAAATTACGGTACAAATCCCTGCCAACAATATACAGCAAACATCTGAAAGTTTCATAACTATGCGTTTAAATATCATCCTTATATAATAGAGAAAAATAGCACACACAGTCATGAATTTGTGAGTGCTGTTACAGAGAATACTTCTCACTTTTAAGCATATTGATATAATCGATAAAAAGTAAAATATTTCATGGGTTTCCCTGGTGGCTCAGTAGTAAAGAATCCACCTGCCAATGCAGGAGACACAGGTTCAGTCCCCGGGTCGGGAAGATCCCCTGGAGGAGGAAATGGCAACCCACTCCAGTAGTCTTGCCTGGGAAATCCCATGGACAGAGGAGCCCGATAGGCTACAGTCCACAGGGTTGCAAAGAGTCTGACCTGACTGAGCGACTAAACAACAACAAAATATACTTAGTATCAGTAGAACACAGATATGGCAAAATTTTTAAGTTGTCCAGTGACTAAGGTTTGGGAACAGTGAACAGGTTAGGGTCCCTTCTAGAACAGCCTAAGTCATCCCTCATGACTGCGAGCCTTGTTTTTATAACATACTGATGATCACGTGCATGGCCTTTTGGTATGAGTCAGTGATCTGGAACGTCTTCCCCAGGTTACCACCATCATTCCTATGGGAAGCCAGCTGTCTCTATTATGATTTGTTTTACAAGCTAGTTTCTAGGGGTGGATTATGTTGAGAGGTACCGCTGTGGCCCTAGCTCAGGAATGGGCAGCTTAGTCCAACTGTGGGCTGTGGCCGTGGGATAGGAACCTACAGGGGCTTCCAACCAGAGTATTGGAGCTGTGGGGAGCTGCCACCCAGACCCCCAGCTGGTCCGAGCACAGCCTCATCACCCTTGGAGAGACATAAGTTTTGGATCATGCGCACTGGAGCAATCACAAGCGTGTCGGGCTTCCAGGGTACACAAGGCAACTTAATGAACTAGGGTACTCCACCCTGAGATGCCTAAGACCTGGCTGTCCCTGCCTAAGCTGGTTCTAGGGACAGGCGGCCCCACTGTAGGCCAGACTCCAAACCATGAGTTCCCTAACGGGCACTCCACTGACGATATGACTGCGTGACCATGTCCACACGTCCTGAGGCAAGAGACACATACCTAGAGAGTCACAGAACTGGCAGAAGAAGAGGATAAAACCTATAGAAATAGAGGCAGACTATGGGAAGGCAGACTATGGGAGGCAGAATGGGAAGTCACAGATACACACCAGAGACCTGCCTGTTCCAGGCGCTCCTGTGAGCGCCGGTTTATGTATGAACTGAACAAGCTTGTGAGGTGAGTAACATTATTTAGACAGTACGGGGGACATCCAGGCACACAGATAGGAAGTAATTTGCATAAGTCACCTCACTAGTTAAACAGCAGGGTTTCAAACCCTGGCACTCTGGGTGCATGACCTGTAAGCCATAGAGAGGAAATAAGGGGAGCCCAGCACAGGGCAGAGGCAGAGGGTGAGAGCAGGGAAAAGGAAACCCAAGTCAGGTCTCTCTGGTGCCCGCTCCTAGCACTTACATGTTGTTGTTCAGTTGCTAAGTCGTGTCCACCTCTTTGTGGCCCCATGGACTGCAGCACGCCAGGCTCCTCTGTCCAGCACTTGTATAAGTCGTTATTCCTAGAGCTGAGGTCAGCCTTGCTCCTCCAGCCCCCAGACTGGGGCTCCTCGGGGCAGGGTGCAGCCTGCCCATCTGGCCTTTGGCCCGGGCTTCCAGGGACAGGTCAGACAGGTCTGGCTGGTGCAGATGGATGTTTTGCAGCTTCCGGTGCTCAAGTCCCTGGGGACCTCTGCCACTCAGTCCCACACAAGGCCTGCGCCAGCCACATGCCATTGCCTGCCCTCACCTAGAAGGGATGACTTCACCCTCAGGGCCTGGCCACAGCCTGGTGTGGGTGAGTGTCTGTCCCCAGCAGACAGCCTGGTCCCAAAAGACTGCTCAGCTCCTGCTCCCCACCACCACCCAGGTGACCGGTCAGATGGCTTCATCTGCCTGGCCAGACTCTTCTGGCTGGCTTCCCGTCCCTGAGTTGACTGGCTGGCCTGCACAGAGGTCCTGTGTGTCCCCCATGTCTATCCCTGATGCAACCTCAGTGTCCACACTGCCCTGCAGGGTCTGTCTCCCCTTCCCTCTCCCACCACACCACCTCCTGAGGTGTACCTGTGCTCCCAGCTCCACAAAGGCAGACCACGCTGTTAAAAATAGAACTTCTTTATTGGTACCTATAAGCTTAGGTACAAGGTGTTCCCACAAGCTCGCAGGCTGGCAGGGCCTCCTAGGCAGGAGGGCAGGCCCAGAGCCTGGGCTTCTTGGCACAGACACAGAGAAAAATGAATAAATTATAGTTCTAATACTCGGGGACAATACAGAAATTATGATGCAAAATCCAACATCAGCAAACAAAGGGCCTGAAAGCCATAACGAGCCCCCCTCACCCTTGGCCAGCTGGCAGGGTGCAGGCAGGTGGACTAGGCTGGAGTGCAGTGCCCAGAAAGCCCTGAGTGGTCCAGGGCCTACTGTGGGCCCTGAGGCAGCCCCTTACCCTCTCTGGGCCTCCTGCTTCCCCCTCCTACATTTACGGCCTTGGAATAAAAGCTGCGGCCTTTGGCGGGGAAGAGGGGGAAGAGATGGGGCAGAGGACAGGAAGGAGAGGGGGATGTGTGGAGCAGAAGAGGGTTTTGGTCACGGTTGGTCAGCCCAGCCCAGCCCCGGCCCCTGCCCCTACTTGCTCAGCCATCCAGAGCAGGGCCGCTGCCACGTTAGACAGAGGGCTCAAGCCCACACCTGGTCTACACCAGAGCCCCAGCAAGGGCAGGGCTGCAGGACTATCAGGCAGAGGGACTTGGGGGGTGAGGCGGGGAGGGGCCTGTGCCCCACCCCCGACCCCAGCACTGCTCGCCAGCCACCTAGTCTCCAAATAAATTATGGGAAATAAATTACAGTCTTCACAGTCCAGAGGATCCAGTCACCCATGAGTCTCAGGGTGGCAGAAGAAACCCAAAGAGGTGGCTGATTTCAGCCTCGTGTGGCTGTCTTCAGGCTTAGGAACATCATACAAGGTGGAAAGGGAGTCTGCAAAGCTCCAGGGAAGCCACATTCCTTCCCACTCCTGGCATGCGCCATGGATGTGGAAGAGAAGGTGTGGGCGTAGGGGGACTGGGCAACTGAAAGGGGAAGTGCCCCCCACCCCCACTTCAGCACAGACAGTTACAAAAATAAATAAATCAATCCAGAGTGTTGCATGAAAATTAGTAGGAGTGCCCACATGGGAGCCAGCCAACGGGGGACCATTACATACAGACAGACCTTGGGGAGCCCCCAAATTACAACAAAGCAGCAACAGGGTTCTTGGGGCCGGGAAAAGGCACCCTGATCCTCACACAGGCACAGGCTCCACCAGCGACGCCGGGGTGGTATCCTCAAACAACTGGCCATCCACAAAAGGAGCCAGGGCCTCGGCAGCGGGCTCAGTCAAGCCCATGATGGACTCCAGGAAGCAAGCGCTGGCGTCCGCAGGGGGAGAGAAGGCAGGCAAGGTGAAGTGGGGCGCCTCGAGGTGGTCCAGGCTGTCAGACACCTTCCGGGAGGTGTAGTGGGGCCCCAGACTGTAGTCTGGCAGGGCCTGGAGCAGCTCGAAGGAGTCGCAGGAGGACAAGCTGAGGTCCGCTGAGCTGCTCTGGCCGGCGTCCGTGCTGGCTGGCACCAAGGGACCAGGGAGGCTGCCCTCGCCCAAGCCTTCAAGGCTGCTATTGAGGAAGCAGCTGGCATCCAGGTTGGCGTTTTCATCCAGGATGCCTGACGTGAGGCTGGAACTGGAATAGCTGTGGGTCCAGCTGGCCAGGCCAGTGAGGTCACCAGTACCAAAGATGTCAGCTGGGTGGAAGCAGCTGAGATTGTCCAGTCCGCCCACACCCCCATCCTCCTCCTCTTCCTCCTGTCCACCTAGTTCAGAGTCACTGAAGCTCAGGATACGAGCCAGGCCATCATCATCCATGCCAGGCTGGAAGCCAGGGCTGGGCAGGGTCAGATGGGCAGGGCCATCCGGGGCCTCGCTGGTGCCTGAGGCTGTGGACGAATCAGTCATGTCGCTGCTGCAGCTGTTGTCTCCCAGTTCGCTGCTCATGGGGGGCTTAGCTAGGGGGAACGCAGAGGCCAGGACCTGCTCGCCGGGGCTGGGAGCGCCACCCTGGGCGGGGGCCTCCAGCTCCCCAAGGCTCTCGGCCCCCTGCTCCAGCTGCAGGCGGGTGAGCGTGTGAATGAAATGGGTCTGAACTCGAGCCTGATTAAATTCCACACGGCCCTTCGGATTCTCACAACCCTCCCTGCAGCAACCACAGGGGAACGCTGTGTGATCCATCTGTAAAGAAAACAGAGGTACCAGTGAGGATCCGGTGGAGCCCAGAGAAGTCCCTGACCCAGGCTTGCCTGCCCAGCCCCGCCGAGCCCCAGTACCTGGCACTTGATGCCCGCCAGGCTGCAGCTGCAGGTCTCAGGATCACAGACCCTGTCACAGTGACAGCCGCAGTCCTCCCGGGACTGGCGCAGGGCCTGCAGCTCTCGCTTCTCCTCGCGATCGATCCTCCGCACACCTGAGGCCCGCAGCAGAGCCCGTCGTTTCCGGGCTGGGAAGGGCTGGAGGAAAGTCATTTCCTCCAACCGGCCGCCTGCCATGGCCACTGCCAAGTCCTCCTCCACAGAGGCATCATCGATGGCATCCACGGTAAGCGGCAGGCCGGCCTCCATCTTGGGCACCCCAGTCTCCGAAAGCTGTGTCCAGGGAAATGAGGAGGGATGTGAGAGGCTGACATGGATCACGGTCTTAACCCCCACAGCATCGGTCACTTAATAAATGCCCCCAAGTGTTTACCTTGGGCTGGGCATTGTGGATGCCATAGTGAATGGGACAGCAAGAACACGCCCTCAGGGCATTCAGAAAGCAGTTTCCTATTTGCATCATTCCCCACTTCATGGACAAACCCCTTCCCTGAGACAGACAGATACACTGACACCCCTATGTCCCATCTACCCCTCCCCAGTAAGGTCAGGCTGACTTAGGTACCATGCCCCCTGGCCCTGCAACAGGAGCCCTTCTATGCCCATCTGCCTATAGAAAATTCAGCAGTAGGCTCTCATCAAACCAGTCAGCCCCATGGGCCCCCCAAATACACAAGCAGCAAGGTGGCAAGCACCATGACCCTTATCCCCCCTAAAGCTAGGACCTGAGAGCAGCCCGAGAGCAAGGGCCATGGAGAGGGTCTCCCCACCTTCCATCTCAGTGCCTCCAGCTTCTCCTCCTTCAAGCGTAGGCGCAGCTTCTCTTGCCGTGCCCGGGCTTGCTCCTGGGTAAACTCGGCCAGGGAGAAGCGGCGGCAGGCACTGTGGCGGGAGGCCATACCCAGGGTGCAGCCGCCACGGCTGGGCACGCTGGTGAAGCCCTGGCACCGCGGGAAGTAGAAGACAGTGATGCCATCGAAGGCCACTCGACCTCGGCGCTTCCGGGGAGCCCGCTTCAGAATGGACAGAGCTGGAAGACAGGCAGGGGAGGGGTAGGCGTTAGTTCTCCGTGAAGCAGGGCCTGACCCCTGGGAAGTGATGCTGAACCATCTCTGCTCACAACCCTCCCACCCCACCCAGAAGAGAAATGGACCCGAGTTTAGGAGCCAGCCTGGCTGACACTGGCGCTGGTAAAAGTCCAACATCACCCTGTGTCGACACTGGCTCATTGTTATTTACTGGTCCAAACGAGAGCATGTGTTAAGATTAAACATCTTTCCCACCTTTAGAAGCCATTTACAGGTCCCCTTCATCGTTTTCTAAAATTCTTTTTTTGGGGGGGTGTGGGGGTTGCTGTGCTGCAAGGCATGCAGAATCTTAGTTTCAGACCAGGAACTGAACATGTGCCCCTGCAGTGGAAGCTATTTTTACCACTGGACCACCATGTAAGTCCCTCTATAGTTCTTAAAAGTATTGATTTGTAAGAGTTTTGTATATATATTAGATGTTAATCACCAGTCTAACCTATCTGTACAAATAATTTAGTTCTTTATTTTTGCTTGTGGGGTTTTACAAAATAATTTCTAAGGTTTATGAAATCAAAAGTATATTGAGCTTTTCCCTTATCACTTCTGCATTTTGCAACAAGCTTAGGAAGGTCTACTACCCTTTATAAGTTATTAAGTAGGTCAATTACTAACCTATGTATTGGCATATTCAATACATATACTTGTATACTACTGATTTTATTAGTTTGGACCATAAGAAGTTACCATAAAATAATCAAACCTTGGCGATGCTGTATGTTTAGACTTAATATAGTAATATCAATATTAATTTTGTATCCAGCTACCTGAGAGAATTCCCTCCTAATAGGTTTTCTATATACCTATTCTTGAATTTGTCATGTAGTCGACTACCTGCAAATCATGGCAATTTTGCCTGTTCTAATCAGTGTATTTAATTCTCATTTTCTTTGCTAACTGAATTGGCTAGCACTTCCTGAATGATGTTAACAAACAGTGGTGACAGACAGTGCCTCCAGCTTGTTCCTGACTTAGTGGGACTGTTTCCAGTGTTTCCTCATCAATCCTAATACCAGGTTTTGAAACATGTGTTTTTTTATCATTTAGGGTATGATATTTACTTATTCTTATCATACTAAGGGTCTTATCTAGAAGGAATATTGTTGTTGTAGTTGCTGTTCAGTCACTAAGCCGTGTCCAGTTCTTTAAAATTCCACGGACTGCAATATGCCAAGCTTCCCTGTCCTTCACTGTCTCCTGGAGTTTGCTCAAATTCATGTCCACTGAGTCAGTGATGCTATCTAACCATTTCATCCTCTGCTGTCTTCTTCTCCTTTTGCCAGAAGGAATATTACATGTTATCAAACAGCAGCTCTCATATTTTTCCTCCTCTGACATAGTCATCTGGTAAATTTATATGATTAGATTTTACAGTATTAAACCATCCTTGTCCTTCTACAGTAAACCCATAGTAGTTTAGTCAGTTAATGTACTGTTAGATTGTATCTGCTAAAGATTATACTTTTTCATGTATAATGTACAGCTCTGCATATAGTCCATAAATAGACATATCTGTGGTATTAAGACATCATGGTGGGGATGATCAGAGAAAAAAATGTCTCCATGTGCTCCTCGGTGCTGAGGGGGTGCAATAATGAAAAATAAGGTGGAGAAACACTTTAGGGCCTCTTTGTCAGTTTGAAATCAGAATCATGTAAACTTAAAAAACTGGGGGAAAAAAACCTTTTCACTGCATTCAAGCAAAGCCAAGCAGCGTTTTGCTGGGTGAAGGACCGGCCTGACAGGCCCCGCAGCACAGAAGCATGATGGGGTGTGGGACTTGGGCAGGGCAGCTGGTAGAGGACAGGGAGCCAGCTGGGAGAAACGAAACTGGAACTGAGGGGCAGAGCTGGGCGGGAAGGCCCCGGGGCCACCGAGGAGCCCTGCCCTGAACGCGATGACTCCAAGCTGGAGAGTCCCAAGGTCAAAGGTGAGTGCAGCTGGGGCCGGCATTCCCGAGTGACCTCTGTAGGACAGGAAGCGGACAAGCTGGGGAGCAAAGCAGGGAAGCTGAGGCCGGCGGGGGGAGGGGGACTTCATCAGGGCCCCCCAGTTTCATCTGGAGGAAGGAAAGGGGGGGTGCGACGGGGTTCCCAGGGCAGAGAGACTCACGAGTGAAACTTCGGGGGCCACAGAAGTCACGGTCAGGCAAAGGCAGCTGATCCCAGGGGCTCTCCTCATCCGAGTCCCAGGCCGGGGAGACCGAGGAGCTGGGGGAGCAGGAGGGAGAGCGGTGGCCCGAGGAGGACAAGGAGGAGGACGAGCAGAGCGAGGACGAGTCCTCCTCCAGCTGGCCAAACTTCCGCTTCAGCAGCCCCGTCATGGTGGCGAGGGTGCTCTGGGGCCCGGGCACAGCCTGCCTGGAAGGAAAACGGGAGAGCTCTAGGGGGCAGGCCTGAGGGCAGGAGGTGGGCACCCAGCCCTGGTCATCGCCTCTCCCACCACCCCCCCAGCCAAGGATGCTCAGGTCCTCCCCAAGGAGCTCTACCCGCCGGGGCCAGGACTCTAGGAGGTTGCTTTGTACTGGATGGAGCCCTGAGGTTCAAACCCTCACCCTGGTGCTTGCAGACTTGTACCAGCTCTGCCCCAAAGTTTCCCCCTTCATTACCTACTGTAACCCACCTACACACATGCACACACCAGACCAACAGATGGGCCGACAGACCTCAGCCTGGCCTCGCTCATTCCCCTGCAGGAATCCCGGGGGCTGACTCACTGGCTGGGTGATTCACACGGCTGCATCTGTGCGCCTTTGTGTGTGTGCGGCCGGGTGCATGCCGACAGCCTGCACGGCCCTCGTACAGTGGCTGCTTCCTCCTCCTCTCTCCCAGCACACCCACAGACACGCCGCCCTGCACACACTGGTGACAGGCCCTCGCTCAGGCCAGGCCGACCAGGGCACTCCAGGGAACGGGCTGGCTTGGACACCACCCCTGATTTCCAACACACAACTTTCCCATGATGGAGCTGCTCAGACTTTCCCTTAGAAACCCCCGCCCACAGGAGAAGTCCCCTGCCTCCAGGCCTGACTGTGGGACCAGAGCCACCTGGGCTTCATAGCTCTTTAATATCTCCTATTTGATCTTCAAAATTCACCTTCATCTTGCCTTCCGGTCCAATTTCTAACCCTGTTTGAATTAACTTTCAAGGGAAAGTATGCTCTCCCCTTAAAAAACAAAAACCCTCTTGGAGTGCCACTGACCGGCCACGCTGAGGTTCCACGCTCCTCCTGTCTGCGGTCAGGTGACCTAGAGCGCCCAGGACACACCGCTTGCTGTGTCTCCCCTTTAAGGGTCCCAGCCCTCCTCAGTAGAGCAACCAGGTTCTCACAGCCTGGCTGGCCGCACCCGAGGGAAGGGGGCTTGGGGTTCCTCCTCCTAACAGCCTCTTCCACTGTTCGGAGAATCCCCAAAGGACTCGGAGCCCAGCTAGCCCGTCTCTCCGCGTCCTGAGCACTCAGGGCCGGGCCCCAGGAGGTCACCAGGAGGAAGGGGAAACGGTGCGGAGGCCCCAGTGCTGGGGAGCCCCTCCCCCACTGCCATCACAGGAAATGAGAGTGAACAGGAAAAGCCAACCAGAGGCTGGCAATCTCCCCTGCTCAGGTGTCCTTTCGAAACACCCCTTGGCCTAGCCTCCCACGAAGTCCCTGGATCCCAGACTTAGGCAGTGTGCTGTCAACCAACTTACTGGGTAAAATTCATCCTAGGGACAGCCTCTCCCCGCAGGCACCAGAGCAGCAAGAGAAGCTCTGCGACTTGCCAACCCTCCAACAACGCTGAGCCCAGGGGAAGAGGACGCACAGGTGTTTCCGGGGGCTTCTCAGCAGACAGTTTCTCAGGCTTGGCACCCCCCACCTCTCCCAGGGTCAAACCACAAACAAAAACAACCCAGCTCTCAGCTGACCTGAAGACTCTCCCAGGAGATGGGGGAACTCATGGCCCAGAGGTAGATGCATGCACGCACGCGCACGCGCACACACACACATACAAGCTCGTGCACGCGCAGAGCCCAGAGGCACCCAGACACAGAAACACACACGACAAACCACGCCCAAGGATCTTGTCCTTACCACAATCCCACTGTGAGATCCCATCTCTTCCCCAGCTCCAGATGCTACCTATAGGGTGCTGAATGCCTTCCTAGTCACACACCTAAGCCGAAGACTCCCTCAAACCAAATGCTCACTTGGTCTCTGCCTGGCCATCCCTTAGAAACATAAAATTCTGCAGGCCCCATATCGAACCCCTTGTCTCTGTTCCCCACCTCCCCATGCCATCTGTTCCTCTTCCTGTGTTCCCTATCTTAGTAACAGCACTGCCACCCACCCAGTTACTCAAGCCAGAAACCTGCAGTCATCCTCAACTCCTTCCTGCCGCCCTCCATCCACATCCAGTCACCCAGTCCTGGAAGTACACATTAGCTCATTCGATCCACACAAGGCCAGGCACCGACACGGCAGGTATCACAGAGGCTGCCCAGCAGTGTGAAGAGAACCTTGGTTCCAGAACCACACTGCTCACATCTGAACCCTGGCGTGGCTATCAGTTGGCTGGGTGATGTTGGGCAAGTTCCTTAACTTCTCTGGGTTTTCAATTTGTCTTACAACCGAATAGGGTTGGGAGGTTTACGTGAATCAATCCATGTCAGGTTCTTAGAACAGTGGTAAATGCTTGCTGAATGTGTCATTCTACACTGGGGCGGAGGGGGGGGGAACGAGCTCCTGGATACACACCACACAGATGGTTCTCACTGATAGCATGGTGAGTGACAGAAGCCAGACACAAGATTACATGTGAATGAAGTTGAAGAAAAGGCAAACCCAATCAGTGATGATACAAGTCAGAATCGTGATTATCCAGGGGGTGGAAAAGGGCATGTACTGGAGACAGCCATGAGGGAATTTTCCCAGGGGCGGGTGGGGGTAGTAGTGTCTGGAAATGTTCTGTGTTGTCTGGGTGGCGGTTCCATGGGTGTCTAAAACATCTCACTGCACACTTAAGATTCATCTGCTTTGTGCATTTTACACACGTCACCTTCTATTCTGAAAGTCTGTTACCCTTACATCTCTGTCCCACTGACACTGTCCACGGCTCCCGCTCTCTCCTCGCAGTCACTCTTTACCCTGGAGCTAGAATGATCTTATTAAACCAAGTGTCTGCCCACCATCTCCATGCAGAGAACCATTCCCTAAGGGGCATCCCTTAGGATCAAGTCCACAGTTCGAAGAGGCTGAAGCATGCCTAGCCCCCAGACTCATCATGCAAGACTCTTCCTACCCTCCTCACTTTATACTCCAGCTGAACGTGCAGTTGCCCCAACAGGCATGACCTTCTCACTCCTGGCCTTCGCACAAGTTGGAACCCAGCCTCACTCCCCGTAAGAAGTCATCTCCCAGAGGGCCTCCCTGACACCGTTCCTCCTCCCCACTACATGCTGCTCTGGGCCTCCATGAGCCACGGGATTCCCCCATCACAGCCCTCGGGGCTCCTTCCCGTGACCACCTCACTGCTCATCTCCCTTGTGCCGGGCTGAAGGCCTCTCTGCTGGTCGGCACTGTGCCTGTGCCTGGAATAGAGTCTGGCACAGAGAAGGCTCCTGAGGACCATCGGAGGGAGGCAGGCTGGCGCTGCAGGTCAGGTATACACAGAGGGACGATTTAGGCACATGAGGTTTCTGGGGGCCACTGGTCAGTGTCCCCTCCTCCTGCTCGGGTCACAGTTGGGGTCACAGCTCAATGGGGCAGGGATAAGGGCGGACCTGCCCATCCCCCAGCCTGTGCCTGAGGGTTTGAGCAAGAACAGCACCCAGGAGGGGGTAGCTCCGAGGGCAGGAAAAGGAAGCTCCGGCTGCCAGCAAGTGCCAACACAGGCATCTCAGGAGGTTCCCCAATAGTAAACAAGTGGAAGGAGTGTTAGGGAAGCCTGTTCAAGCCAGACACCCTGGCTCTGTCTCAGGGATGTCTACAGAATGGGAGTTTAAGGGGAGAGGGTTGTAAACTCCAGGGTGGCAGACGGGGACACAGGGGAGCCATGGCCGTGGTGCACCTCCTAGTGAGGAGTGCCGAGAGACATCTGCAGACCTGGAAATGGGGAATCATGTCCTCCCTGACCCGGGGTGGCGAGGAGGAGCCCCTGGATGTTGTGCTCGGCTGCCCCACTTGGGAATCCAGAGGCTGAGAGAGGCAGAGGCAGATGAGACCAAAAGACTCAGCCAGAGACAAGGAGAGGCCAAGTCAGAAAAGGAATGAAAGATAGTGGAAGAGTCCAAGAAAAGTGTCAGACAGTGAGTCAGAGGGTGGGGGAGGGGCCCTCCACAGCTACCCAGGAATCAAGATCCCTACCGACCGTGGCACTGTTCCCAGGGTGAGCACAGCCCCCTCCGAGGGTCCTGGAGGAAGGAAAAGCAATTCCCAGGAGCGGGCCCAGAAAGAAATACCACACCCCCAAGGAGCCCCGGAGACAGGCCCTGAATCAAAGAGAACCAGGCTTCTTCCGGGATCTGCCTGGGCCCTGAGAATCAGGCCCTCCCTGCCTGTCACCACTCAGAGGAGCTGACAGTCCAGGACGAGGCGGGGGGGGTGCCTCCCCACTCCTTGCTGCAATTATCTACACACTCAGGCCACACTGTGTGAACCGAGGGAAGGCCACCTCACCCTGGATACCAACCAAACAAAGGCTGTGTTAAGGCAAGGGAATCCCCAGGCCTCTGAAAGGTCACACCAACTCCTCGTCAACCTCAGCAGTCCCAATGCCCCAGTCCCAGGTCAGAGCTGGTATTGGAAAAGGGGCACCTTCAGCTGCCTCCACCCTCTGTCAGGAATCTGAAGAATGTGTCTTTTAACCTCAGAGCCCCAGGCCTTGGCCAGGCCAGACCCAGCTCTCCCCAATACCTGGGGTCACATGACCCCAGGCCCCCAGGAACTACTTCCTGGGAGAAGGGGAGGACACCTTTAAGCACCTCAGACCCCACGGGTATCAGCTAGAAGAACTGCCACAGCAGCTCAGAGGGGGCAAGCAGAAGGCCCTGGCACATCCCCACCCCTACCAAGCCTTCCCCCAGGGGGAGGGGACAGTTCCTCAGCCTTGGCCTCCAGGGCTTGGCACTGGGGAGGCGCCAAATGTTTGCTGGCTACATGAAGCAACTGCTCCTGCAAAAGGGAAATTGCACCTGACAGAGACTGCTTAATCCCCCTAAGCAAGGCCCCCTTCACTGCCATTCATTCATTCATTTCTTGCAACGAATATTTATTGGGTGCCTATGACATGCCAAGCACTGTGTCACGCGCTGGGAATACAGGGAGCAAGACACAGACAATACTGCCCCCCGGGAAGCTTTGAGTTTATAGGGAATAGAATAATGAGTTATGAACCTTGTTGAGTGCTGGAATGGAGGGCGGGAAGGGGTACAGCTGGGAGTGAAGACAGGTCTCTTGCAGAAAAGGTTGGGATGGGGTAAAAGTTTCAGAGTGGGGGGGGGGGGGACAAGGGAACCCGGGGGGGAGGGGGGAGAAAGGGGGGGAGAGGGGGGGGGGGGGGACACAGGAACCCTGAGGGACAGGAGGAGCAAGAGGCAGAGAGATGGGGGGGTGGGGAAGGGGCTGCCTGGGAGGGGACTTTGGGAGCCAGGGCTGACAGGGCAGGCTTTTAGCCTAAGGGCACAGGAAGCCACTGCAGGGCTGAAGTAGGGAGTGACAATACCAGATTTGCATTTTAAAAAGATGGCTCAGCACGGGACGGGAGGGGGTGGGACAGGAGGGGGTGTGACGGGTTGGACGTAGCTGCCAGAGGTGGGTGAGAGATGTCATGCCAGAGGCTTAGGAGAAAGGGGAAGGGAACCTGGTGACTTCTGGAGGTGGGGACCAAAAAAGGCAGTGATGTTGAGGATTTGGGGGTAAGTGATGAGTTCTGCTCGAGAGGGCTGTGAGACATCTGAGTGGAGGAGTCGGGTGGAACAGTGGAGCCAGGGAAGGACCCCTCTTGTGTCAGGAGTGTGGGCTGTGTGTGTGACTGTGCTGGGGAGCCGGAGTGACTAAGTGTGTGACGGCTGCCGTGGTGTGGGCATCTCAACAGTGTCCTGCCAGTGGAAGGGCCCCCGGGGAGGGGAAACTGAGGACGGGGAGGAAGTAGGTGCTGGGGAGGGAGACTTGTGTGGGAGAAGCCTACGTGTGCCCGAGGGTGCCCGCGGCTAGCTGCGCCCGTGACTCACAGCGGTGGCCTCTGCGTGTGACGGTGACTGACAAACAGGTGAGCGTACGACACAATCCCTCCTCCTCCCCCCTCCCCCCTGCCGGGGTCCGTGACTCACGGAGCCTCACTCCTCGGTCATCCCTCCAACTCCCTGACCGGCGCCGGGCACTCGCCGCGGCCCTGGCACCCGCCCCCGGGGGGAGCCCGAGGAGGAAGGCGACAAATGTCACCTGCTCCGGCCACGCGAGGAACTTCTGAAAAGTTCTCAGGCAACTGGGTCAAAAGGGAACTCACCCGCAGACGCGCGCCCGCCGCCACCCCGCCACCCGCGCGCAACCCCGGCTCGGCCACCACCCGCCCGGCGGTCGGGGCGCCGGGACCTCCTGGGGTCCCGGCGATGGGGCGGGGGGAGGGCAGCAGAAAACCTGCGACTGTCGTCTCCCGGGCTCCGGACTCCGGCCGCGGCGCGCCGTCCGAGACCGGGCTGTCCCCGCCCCGGTGCCCTCTCAAAGTAGCGAGGAAGAAACGTCAGGGGCTGTGGAGCAGCGCCCTCCATGCGGGACGCCCCCTCCCCAAAGTCCCGTCCCACCGGCCCGGAGCCCCCGGTGCTGACCTGAGGTCCGGACGCTAGGCAAGGGCAACGCCGCGACCCACGTCCTGGTCGGGAACGCCCCCTGCGCGGCGACCCCGCGCTCGCTCGCTCTCTCGCTAGCTCGCTCGGCGGACAGCACTCGGCCCAGCTGCCCCTCGCTCTGCGCGTCCGGCAGCGGCGGCGGCGGCGGGAGACTGGCTGAGCCCGGCCCCGCCCGCCGCTCCGCCCTCCTCGTCAGTGGAAAACTCCGGGACTCACGGCGCTGACGCACGCCGGGCCTCCCGCCCGCCGCCCCGCCCCGGAGGCCCCGCCCCTCCCCGCTCCAACCCGAGCAGGCGCAGCGGTCGCTGGCCTCCCTGCGGACTCTGACCCCGCGACGGCGCCGCGGCCGCTTTCGGCCCCCAGCCCCCTCCGCTGCCCTCCTCCGGGCCCTCTCCCGCAAAGGTCACTGACGCTCCCGCCAGCGGAGCAGGATCGGGAAGGTCCGTACCTTTCCCTGCGGCCCCCGTTTACAGATCGGTAGACTGAGGCCCAGAACGCGCGTAGCGTCTGTCAGGCCACCGGGCGGTACTAGAGCCCAGGCCCCCTTCACGCCCAGACCCCAACCTCGCCCGAGGCAGTTTACTGTAATCCCGTCAAAAGTTCCTTCCTCACCCTCCGGCCTACCACCTCCCCCTACCCCCGCTCCCCGCAGATCCGCCTGGAAAGTATAATCTGGAGAAGAACCAGAGGTGGGTGAGGTGGATAAGTAGAGATAATGGGGTGGGGGAGAAGGTCATCCTTGGTCCTGACCTTCACCTCTGCTCAGGAGCCGGAGACTCTGCAGAAGCCCTGAGTTAGGGGTTTCTGGAACCAGCCTACACTATCCCCACCGCTACCAGATCCCTTTCTTGAAAAAAAGAAGAAAAAAAAAAATCTGGTTTCTTCTGAGCCAGACCCTGGCCACTTGAAATGGCCCACTGCCTGCTCTTCTCCCGCCAAGGCCTTTCCTGACTTGGGGCCAACTCTCGCAGTATTAGTGTGCCGGGGAACGTGTGTGCATGCCCGGGCAGCGCGTTCTGGGCCAGAAGGCCAACCGCTGTGGTCAGACCCTACCCACCACGCGTGCCCTGAGCGCCTCTCCCCTCGCACCTTTGCTGCAGGTGGTGTTCTCTCCTGGAACGCCTTCCGGCCCTCGCTGCTTACCAGAATCCCATCTCCTTTAAGGTCTCTCAGCTCGCACTGCCTCCTCCAGGGAGCCTTCTGTGGGAGCCTGGCCCTCCCCCTCCCAGTCCGCTCCCGCTGCATTCTGGGTTCTTCTCTGACTGTCCTAGATGAATGCTGTCTGGGACTAGCCCGGCCCTCAGGATTCCTTTCTACCTAACTGCAGGTGGGGGGTGGGGGCGACCTGTCCTGCCTGCATGGCAACTGAGGTAGAGGTGATGGTAGGGCCTCTGTGGCCACAGATGTGAATGTAGAGGGGGTCAGGAGGGGTCTGCCCGCCCTTTACCTTGCCAAGAAAGAATGGAGTTTGGGGGAAGCTGCGGCCCGTTCTTCCTGGATGCCTTGAATGTGCCTACCTGGGGGGCTTGCGGGGCGGGGTGGGGGGGGGGGACGTCTGGATGGCTGGAGCCCACCCTCCAGTGACTTCCCAGCGCCTTCTGGATGAAGTCTTAACTCCGCGGGGCCTACAAAGCTGGAATAAGCAGGCCTTTGCCTCACCTTTGCAGCCTCACCTCTTTCTCTTCAAACCCCCATCTCCCACTCTCTTCCCTGCGCCTCCATTTTCATGTCTTTAACATGTGTTGGTCTATTTGTAACATCGGTACAACCGCACAGTAGTTTTAATTTACACACGCGGTGTTCTGTTCTATACCTTCTTAATCTTGTTCTGCCCTTACCTCTGCACTCCCAACCCTGCCCTTGATAACTGCACTCCAGCCCTGATTGCCAGTAGTCAGTTCTTGGGGTGTGTCCTGCTCATCCTGATTTAAACTTTCAAAGATGCTAATCTCCAGCCTGGTTTGCACCCACTTATATATATGGCTTCTTTATGCATTTCCATGTGAGTTGTCTGTGAGCACTGGGAGGGCAGGGACCATACCTGACTAGCCTTTCTGCTTGTGCTCCTTAAGAACAAAAAAGGTATTGAATAAATTGTCTATGGGGTAAATGTCTATCAAGAGCTGGGGCTCAAGGAGAGGTCAAGGCTGAAGTGGGGATGGAAGACACCTGGTAAGTTGAAGCTCTGGGTGTGGCTGAGACAGCCCTGGAAGGAGTTGATAAGCTACAGAGCTGAGCGTCCTTTGCTGGAGGTGACTCAACCCTTAGGGCTACTAGGCAGGTGGCTACCCACCCACTCCCACCCCCCTCAAATATTTAGCTGCACTGTCTCCTAAGTCTGCTAGGTTGTAGACCTTGCTGGTCCCAAGGAATCATTTCTTCCAGTTCTTTTCTGTGTGTGTCTATCTGTCCCTATCTCAAGTCTTCCAGTTTGTAAAGTGGGAGCATTAGACCTGAGAACACCATCACCTTCAACATTCCTTGAGTTAGTTTCTAGAAGATGCTGCCTGCTGATCAGAGAACTGGGCAGGGTTGAGCCCTAGAGTTAATGAGGGTCTCTGGTTGTCTCAGTTGCATCTGCTTGGCTGTGTATGAGGGAAACCAGACAGAACAGAGACGAGGGCAGGGAGTTGGCAAGGGCTGGAGTCAGGGCTTAGAGCAGGGAGCCCAATGGTTGATAGGATTTGGGAGGCAGGAAGAGAAGGAAAAAATAAGGGAAAATATAGGAGAATAAAACGAATCAAATAAGTGATGTGTTTTCTCTAGAAAAGCATCTCCCTGTCCTGGGATGGGCTCACCAGATGTTCCCCAGATGTTTGCTGATGATGAGAAACATCTTCCTCTGGGATCACAAGTAAGTTCTTCCTGTTGGTAGGGAAATGAAGGGTCTGTTCCAAGGCAAGGAGGGTGGGGTCTGGAGCAGCATCCATTTGTGACTATGGCACATGCATAGGCAGAAACACACCCACACATCCTCAGGGAATTTCTGAATACTTAGGGGAGTCCCACGAGTTTCTCAAACAGTCAGCATCCACAGACCACCCAGTTTTAGGTAAATAAAAAACAACCTCATCTTAAATATTTTTTTAAATAAAAAATTGATTCATTTCCATCGAAAAGACAAAGATTAAAAGGATAATGTTTGGGGGCATTCCCTGTCCCCTTTCTGATGTCTATGTTAGAAGCTTTCTGTGTCCTTTTTCACTATAATAAAACTTCTGCCACACAAAAGCTCTGAGTGATCAAGCCTTGTCCCTGATCCTAAAGCTAAATCTTCTTCTTTGGAGACCACGAATCTGACATCATTCACCATAAGCTATCAACAGCTTTGTTAAGTTTTAATAATATTATGAAAGTGTTAGTGGCTCAAAAAAAACAATTTTTTTTGAAGTATCAAATGTGGGAAGATTGAGATTTCACCAGATTTGCCATACCTCGCTGGTGTGACAGTGAATTGATACAATCAGTTTGGAAAATAATTTGGCAATACCTACTAAGACTAAACTATATGATCTTGTAATTCTACTGCTCCATATATTCCCAAGAGAAAAAAGCACTTCTGTCCACTGAAAGACACAAGAGTGTTACAGCAGCTTTATCCATAACAGCTTGAAATTGGAAACAACATAAATGTCCAGTAGGTAAGGGAAAACAATTTCAATTTCTCATACAATGGAATAGTACACAGCAATGAATCAAACAGTGGCCTCATATAATGATAGGGATGAATCTTAAAAACAGTATGTTGAATAAAAGAAAGCAAGTGCAAAGGAGAATAACTACGATGCCATTTATTTATGTGAAGTTAAGAACCAGGCAGAATGAAAGCTCAGAGATAGATAACATTACCTTCAGGAGTAACAGGCTAAAGGTGTGACTCCCAGGCCAGCAGCCAGCAGCATCATCTGAGAACTTGTTAAGAATGCAGATTCTTGGGTCCTCTCCAGACCCACTGCATCAGAAACTTGGGTAGTGGGGACCCAGCAACCTATAATTAGCCCTCCATTGATTCTGAGGCACATCAAAGATTGAGACCGACTTGAGCTAAGGTTGTAGAAAGTGAAACCCAGGAAAGGGGACTGTCTTCAAGTACATTTCTCCAACATTCTTGCTTATTTAAACAGGAAGACTTTTTAGTTTAGATCTGTGGATTGAAAATCTGAGCAGTTGAGTTCTGGGTCAAAGGGTTTTGACAGATGCTGCCAAATCGCCCTCCCCAAAGTTGCACCAATTTTATTCTCAACCAATAGTATTTGAGCATGCCTGTTTCCCAACACCCTCCCTGGCACTGAGTGTTATCAAACTTATTGATCTCTGCCAATCTGATGAGAGAAACTACGAAGAGATCTTACTGTTTTAATTGCACTGCTCTAATTATGAGTGAAATTGAGGTTCTTATAAGCCATTTGTGTTTCTCTCTAAATCACGGGTTTATATTCTTTACTTATATTGTTGTTTTATGTCTTTGAGGATTAGGGAAAGAAGCCCTTCTGTCACACATGTGGCACTTAATCCTGGTTTGCTTTTTACCTGGGTTGACAGTATATTTTATCATACAGAAGTTTTACATTTTTATATCATCGCATTTCTTAAATATTTGCTTTAGGCATCCTGGTGTTTGTGTATTGCATTCCCTATCATAATATTACGGATAAATTCACCTATTTTTTTCTCTAGAGTTTTATGATCTTATTTTTAATTTATAAATCCTTTATCTTTTTGGAATTTATTTTGATTTAAGGAATTGTATAGGGTTTCCATTTTCTTTTTTCCCCCAATTGATAAATTTTCCTACTACCTTTTTCTTTTAATATAAATGTCACCTTAAACAGAAATTGAATTCTCATATGTTCTGGAATCAGTTTCTGGTTCTCTACTCTTGTCCACTGGGTTGTCTGTTTCATCTTTGGGTACCAAACTGCTTTACAAATTACAATTTCATAATATGTTTTATCATGTGATAGATGTAGCCCCATCGTATTACATTTCTTTTTCAGGGCTTTCCAGGCTCCTTATTTAATTCCTCATTTGAGTTTCATATCATTTCTGGACAAGCTCGCCCCTAAAAAAAAGTCCTATATTTTAGTTAGAATCACATTGAATTGATACATTAATTGAACACTGACATTTTTATAACATTGGGTTTTGCTATTCAAAAGTTCAGTATAGAATGTTCCCTGCAAAATAGTCATAAAAGGCCCTTATATGTCTTTTAAATATTGTTCTGAATATTTTATCTTCTTGATTGCCATTGTAACTACAATTTCTACTATATTTTCTGGTAAATTGTATTTTTTTATGTATGTAAAGAAAGGCTACTGAGTTTTATATATTAACCTTTGTAAACTGCCATCATCCTGAATTCTCTTGTCTGTAATAGTAGTACATTTTTCAGTCATATCATCTATATGTAATTTAGCTTTTCGGTTATGGTTTTATTTTTTTGTTTGGCCACATCGTGTGACTTGTGGGATCTTACCTCCCTGAGGAATTGAACCCAGGCGCAGCAGTGAAATTGTGGAATCCTAACCACTGAACCACCAGGGAATTCCCAAGGTTTTGTTTGTTTTAAGCAGGAATTGATGTGGGACATTTTTCAAATGCCTTTTTTTGGCATGTATTGAGATGTTATGCAGTTTTCCTCTGATGTATTTTTTTTTTCATAATAGTGGTTAACACTTAATAGCCAGTTGCTTTTATTATTGTTATCATTTTATTTATTTTTGGCTATGCTGGCTCTTTGTTGCTACACAGGCTTTTCTCTCGTTGCAGCAAGTGGGGGCTACTCTCTCGTTGCGGTATGTGGGCTTCTCATTGTGGTGGCTTCTCCTTTAGTTGAGCACGAGCTCTCAGGCACTCAGGCCTCAGTAGCTGTGGCTCCCTGGGCTCTAGTGCACAAGCTCGTCATTGTGGTACATGGGCTCCGTTGCTCTGCGGCATGTGAGATCTTTCCAGATTCGAGTCTGAACCTGTGTCTCCTGCATTGGCGGGTGGATTCTTTACCAATGAGCCACCAGGCAAGCCCATTCTTTGGTCTGTTAATATGGTCAATTTTATTACAGATTCCCTAATATTGAACCACCTGCACTACTAGAATGAACTTACTTGGATACAATGGATGATTCTTTGAAAGTATTGTTAATTTATATTTGCTAGTATTTTATTTGAGATTTTTGTACCTCATGTTCTATCATATTTAATTACTAGTTACTATACAGATTCCCCACATTTATCTTTTGTTTCTTACTAGGTCATGAGCTGATGAAGTCGGTTAAAATGTACTGTCTTATCCAAATTTGTTTGCATTTGCTGTATGTATATTGTTATTCTCAACTCATATCCTATTCTTGATTTTGAAGCTATGCTATTTGGTGCCTAGAGATTTCCAAAAACTAGATTCTTAATGTCTCTCATGTTTAACTTCCTTTTCTCTAAATTAGCAATTTTGTTTTGAATCTGACCTTGACTGATGGTAATTGTTCCTCTGGAGGAAGAAATGGCAACCCACTCTAGTATTCTTGCCTGGGAAGTCCCATGGACAGAGGAGTCAGGCAGACTGCAGTCCATGGGGTTGCAAAGAGTCAGACATGACTGAGCAACTGAGCACATATGCACGATGGTCATGCTGTAGTCTCAGCTCAGTATTTTCTTGTATGCCTTAGTTTATATTTTAACTTTTCTGAGTTACTTTGGTAAAGATGTATCTCTTCTATATCACATACTATAGAACACTGTTTTATGATCTGATGAGAGAATCTTTTTTTTTAAGGATGGGTTTATCCTTATTTACATTTCTTGATATAACATGTATCATGCTTACTTATGTCATCTTATCTTCTGCTGTGTTTCCTATTTTAATGCTTCCTCTGTTTTCTATGTTTTACATGTGTATTTTTTTTGTTTTCTTTGATGTGTGTGTGTGTTTGTGTGTGTATGTGTGAGCACACATGTGTTTGTATTTTGGTCTGATGATTTGAAGGTTTATAGTCTGTTTTTAATTTTTCCACTGCTTGTCTTTATATTGATTTATTTCTCTGCCAAGAGAAGAAAACCTTTAAATGTAGGGAAAGAGTCATATTCTCAAAGGGCTGAGGCTTGCCACCATAGTTCTGTCTTCGAATTCTTGATATCCCCAGAAACAAACAAAAAACAAAACAAAATTCTTAATATTCTCAACATGAAAAATGGTGATAAGTCTCGCCCTGAAACCAAAGGTTCAGGATAATCAAAATCTGAATGTGCCACTGAGATGCTTCTTGAGTGAACCAGCCACCTACAGCAAAGAGCTATCGGCGCCACAAAGGGATGCTGTTATCTCATCTCTTATTTCAAAACCTCATGTGAATATCTTACCCTCAACAGCCAGCATACTTAGTTCAACAGTGTCTTTTACTTTCTGTCCATGTCTCCGCAGTCTTCTGAAAAGGCATAGTTGGAGAGGCATGAATGGAGGGCATTGACTCTTCTTGCTATTTGTTTCTGCGCATATCGAGATCAGGAGCCAGATTGTTGCCTGACAGCTGGTCTTTGTGAATATAGTCGTGTGTGGTTGGTGTTCAGATGCAAGTTGTGTGTGTGTTTTCTTTTAAATCTCATCAGTTAGTGTACCAAGAGATAATAGCACACTCAAAACAGTATCATTTTAGGAAAGCTTATTTACAAAGGGACTACTTACAAGCATGTGGGTGTAGGAGCACCCCAAGGGATGGTGCAGTAACCTGGATGAGCAGCAGCAGAGCTGTTACTACCAATAGGCCTGAAGCTGAGCTCCAGGGTGTTACTATAAGGGAGAGAACTGGGTAGGCTGGCTGCCTTGGGAAGACCAGTGGCCCCCCACTAGAGGATACATCCAACCCACAGAGACTCACAGGCAGGAAACCAAAGGACTAAATGCCTTGATCTCTTTCTCTTCCCTCTCCTTTCTCTGCTGGGCCTCACCATGGCTGAACCCAATTGGAAGCCAGAAGCTTAAGTCATTTAATCTTGCAAAGGAATTCAGTGAGAAATAGAACAAAAAGTCAGCAGGTACATTTCCCTCCTGTGTTTTTGGAAGATATGTGGCCAGCCTGACACATTAGTAGTGCACTCAATAGGAATGCTTTCAATGATCAATAATCCACTACCATTTACTTGTGTACTGTAATGGGAAGGTTGGAAGGTGGTAGCCACTGACATAATGTCAGTACTGGTGTCTCTAGAATTCTCTCAGCTTTTACCTTAAGCTGGTTGCTTCATATTTGCAAGACGGCTGCCCAAGCATCATGACCATGGTTAAGTTAGGAAGAAAGGGGGAGGCGGGGGATACCAGCATGTATATCCATTTTCTGAAAAAACAAAACCAAAACTTTTTATAGAAATACCCTCAGTAGACTTGTCATCATATTTCATTGACTAGAACCGGATCTCATGTAACAGCAAGGGAGATTGGGAGAGTGGAAAATGGGCTGGTCATGGTTGATTTAGACCACTTGTAATTAATTCCCTGAGACTGGAGACCTTGGTGCATGGATCAAAATCAGGAATCTGTTATTAGGAAAGAAGGGATGGAATAAATTTCTGGATCAACAATGAACAAGGCTTGCCACAAGTGGTTTGTATTCAACAATAAAGCCCATTGTCTGCTAGCACTCACTCCGGACAGCCATTGCTCTTTCACACTATGTGCCATTGATTTTATGTGACATCCAAAAATGTTGTTTGATCAAGTAATTTTGCCAGGAGCTTGCTCTGCTTTTCCTCAGTAGCCTATGACTCAAGTCCTGGTTTGAATTGTGTTCGTTTTCACTGTAAGGTAGACAACTTTAATGATGCCTCTCTGGGTTTGATCTTTTCTCTGTCTTTAGTGACAAAATGTATTCTGACTACACTGGACATTTACCCATATTATGGAAAGACTTGATTGGTTTTCTATCTAGCTTACAGGATCTGATGTGAAGAGGATGCAAAAAGTCTCAGGGGGCTTCCTGCCACTATTTGACAAAGTTTCATAAGAGATGATGCCTCTGGGACTAAAGGAGATGATTACCAACTAACAAAATTCCATTTTCAGGTATTTGTTACCATATCTGAGTCACACTTTTTCTTTTTTTTCTGTTTGTATAAAATTATCCCATCCTACACACTCATTTACCCTGGTATATGTGGTCATAATTTATACTGCAGTATTTTTGTTGCTATTTTCAATACTATTTTTATGCTTTAGTGAACCTCCTTTAAACTACTGACCCATTTTTATGATTTGGTGATATACTATCATATAATAGTAACAATAAAATGGAAATATAACACATGAAAACAATCACGTGTAAAGGTGTGAAAATCTTTTAACCAAGTTGAACTAGAGTCAGTGGCATTCTCTTTACTATGAACTGAGCTGAACTGACCAACTCACTTCTAGTGCTCCTACAAGACCATGATGATGATTATAAAGATAATGAGATTTCTGTGGAAATGACCACTGACCTCACATTTACGAAATGTATGGGAACAAAGTTGCTTGTCTGTGTAGCAGACCCTGCCATGCCCCACTCATATCCCCCTCACACAATTCTCACATGTGTTCATGGTGATTTCTGTAGGGCCAACAGGGATGCCATCCGATGGAACTGGAGTACAATGTCCAGGTCCAGTTCCTGCAAAATTCATTTCTGTACCATCTACGGAGATCTGCAGTGAACCAGGGCCCTAGGTTCATTCAGGCGTGGAGGGGGCGGGATCTTAATGAATCCAGTGAATCTCTGCCCTGGCGCGTGGAGTTGATAGATATGACGTGAGATGCTTTACTTACTGGAAAACACAAGTATACTAAGGGCCACAATAGTAACATCTGATGGTTTAAAAACATGACTGCACATTCTTTCACACTTATTACAAGAAGGAATGTAATACCTCTTGCCTCTAATGTGGGCCGGTTTTAATGACCTGTCATGAGCAAACTGGAAGAAGTGATACTGTACGATTTCCAAGGTAAGTCAGTAGGTGACAGAGCTACTGTACGCGCAACTGTTAGGTCGAAGGACATTTTCATTTAAAATTCTGATCCTATTGCCAGGTTGTTCTCCACTTCTCTCCCATCCTTCCACCCCTCCCCCCACCAACAGTGGATTTTTTTTTTTTTTTTTTGGATCAGTATACTGGTTTCAGTTGGCATTTCATTACTATGGGAGAAGTGAAGCATCTCTTTCCTTGGAACATCTCCTGGGGTCAGAAGACCCAGCTGGAGACAAGCGCGGGACTCAGCGGAGCCAGGCGGCCCCGCCGACAACACCCACGGCTCCACTCACTCCCCTGGCTCCTCTGTTTTCGGCGCTTTCCTTCCTCCCCCACAATATTCAGATTCCTGGAACCAGGCTCGGTGACCTCACGCCGGTGACTTCACATCCGGGACCTTCTGGGAATTCTCAGCAGCACTTTTTCGTTAGAAAACTAACGGGGGAGGAGGAAGGGGGTGCGTCCGGGGAGGGACGCCGGAGCTCCCGGGGAAGCAGGGAGGGAGCCGCACAGAGGCCTCTTCCTCCTTCCGGTCGGGGGTGGGTGGGGCTGGCGGCCGAGCAGCCGCCGGCGAGACCTGAGGCCCCGCCCCCTACCTCTCTGCCTCCCCGCGCCTCCCCCCGCGCCTCCCACGGGATGTGGATCCCGGCGCCTGTCACTACAAGTTTGGGACCCGGGGCCCCAAGCTGAGCCTCTGCCAGTTTTCTTCCGAAGTTAGGTCAACGTCTTACTTGGCAGCTCTGCCACAGGTGCGGAGCGGGTAACTTCTTGGGGGAAAAACTTGTGTGTGTCACTGACGGGCAGGTACCGGTGGGGGCGGGGCACGGGAAACGCAACAAATCGAAAGTTTACAATGGTGTTTTCCAAGCTACAAAACTGCACAAGGTTGAGAGGTCAGAGAAGGACAACCTCCATGGCTTTTGTTTCCTTGAAGGGGTTGCCTCAGAGCTGAGTCTTCAATACAAAGCTATCCAGAAATGACAGGAAGGCGAAATGAGGGGGCTGCTGCTTCCAAAAAAAAAAAAAATTTTTTTTTAAGAATATATTTTACAACTGTGGTGGTTAAAGATGAAGATACTAATGTTATATATTAAACTGTTTTCTTTTACTTCAAAGTTGTTTTTTTCCTTCTGATTTTGAAAGAAGTTAGAATATTTTCATGGACCCCTCAAGCATTGTGGGCCTGAGGCTCCATCCATGCCTGCTGTGCCCAGTGGGTAAGCTGCCCCTGGACAAAGGCCGGACAGCATGACAAAGTCTGGATAGAACATTAAAGGACATGGAAGGTCTGATTCTCTTGGGGGAATGAAAGAGGCTATAAACACAGGTGGCAGCTGCATAAGAAGGGCCTTGAATGACCTGAGGAGTGGATTTTATGGTGGAGGTGGTGAGGAGCCACTGCTGGGCCTGACCAGGGGTGGGACTGGAGGTGGGCTGGCTGTTGCCTTAATGACATCCAAGCTTCTCCTGAGCCACAGTTGAGATGGAAGCCACAGATTGATGTGAGGGGCCTGGGACCTGGAGAAGCCTGGGCTGACTTCTCTGGGTCATCCCTCCTGGAAAGGAAAAAGCAAGAGGAGAAACTGTACTGGTTCCAGGACTTTGGAAAGATCAAATGAAAGGTCCTTCACCAGTCACAAAGCAGGGAGAGTTTGCCTACCTTAATAGATGTTTAGGGGGCTTCAGGGCCACCTCTTGCCCAGATCTCTGCGGTGGTTCCTACTAGCTATTCCATCCCCCTCTCTCCTGCCCAAGGCACCTCTCCAAAGCTCCATTCCCATTGGGCTGTTTTCCTGCTCCCTGTGGGCCAGAAGACAAAACCACAGTCCTCACCTGGGCATTTCCAGAGTTCAGAATGAGAAAAAACAGACTGGGTTTTCAACACCCCTACAGTAGATCACTGTTCCAGAATCTCATTTGGCTACATGTTTCTCAGTCCCCAATAACTGCCCTTTCTCCCCCACCCTCCACTCCCTGCCAGAAAACAAAAAACAAACCAAAAACTATGCTTGTCTCCCACCTTCCAATGCAAACACTGGGCTTCCTCCAGAGCAGGCCAGGCCAAAATCAAGGGCTGAGACAGGAACTATAAGGGAGAACTGGGCTTGAATGACTCAGTGAAAGACAAGCCTTCATTTATTCACCAGAAACCATGGATTGAGCTCCTACTATGTGCTTTTGTACCATTCTAGATGCTGGAGATACAAAAAGAAGCAAAGAAGTGGTTGGTGTGGAGATGACATTCCAGTGGAGGAAGACTTGGCTGTGGAGATGGCACTTTCCAAAGACGATCACCTCTTCCTCATCAAAAGGTACTATCTAATAGCCCTTCTATTCAGTCTAGCAGATTTGTGATTCATTTGTAACCAACAGAATGCAGCCCAAGTGACTTTGTGTGACTTCTGTGGCCAGATCATAAAAGGTGATGCAACTTCTGCCTTGTTAGTTGGGACACATACCTTGGGAAACTTGAAATAAATTGCAGGAAATCCAGCCACTCTGAGAATGGCATACTTTGAGGAGGCCCAGGCCACATGGAGAGGCCTTGCATACGTGGTTTATCTGACATCCCAGCTGAGGTCCCAGCCAATAGTCAGCCTCCATTGCCAGGCATCTGAGTGAGAGAGTTTTCAGACCCTAACTGTCAAATTACCCCCAGCCTTAGACGGAGGCTAATGTTGAGGCCCCACACATCATAGCAGAGAGACAAGCCATGTTCAGTGTGTTCTATCCAAATTGCTGACCCACAGACTTCATGAGCATCATAAAATGTTTTTTTAGACCACTAAACTTGGGGTGGTTTGCTATGCAGGAATAGTATCCAGAACATTGACATTAAACAAGCAAATATGTGAACAAAGATAATTTTATATTGTAATGGGTCCTCAGGAAAACAAAAATAACTCAGCATGTTAACTTGGAGGAAGGCCTCTATAGATGGGGAGAGGGGGAGGGATAAGTGGGGGAGGCAAGGGAGGTATAGATCAAGAAAGGTCTTTTTGGAGAGACATTTGAACTGGAATGTGAGTGAGAAAGAGCCCAACCACTAAAGATCTGGGAGAAGAGACTTCTGGGCAGAGGATACAGCAGGTGCAAAGGTCCCGAGGCAGGAATTAGCTTGGTGTGTTCTGTGAAAACCAGGAAGGCCAGTGTAACTAGGGAGATGTGCGTGAGGAGGAGAGTGGGGCAAAGAAGTTGGAGAGGAAGCTTGAGAGGCAAGTCATTCTGGTCTTAGAGGCCGCTGAGAAGAGTTAGACTGAGCGAGCTGAAAGCTTGCATATAGTATTATACAAGAGTGACTTGGTCTGGTAAATTCTTGATAATTTAGGTGCCAGGTGGATGACAGTCTGTAAAGAGGGGGCAAAGGGAAGACCACTTGGGAGGCTCTGGCAGTGGTCCAGTAAATGGGGGATGGGTGGTGGCCTGAGACAGGATGATAGCGGTGAAGATGAGGACTGTTGGGTAAACTTGGAACGGAGGCAGTGACAGAGTAATGAGAAGGGAGGAGGCGCCCGGCCGGCAGGAAGGTCCCGGGCGGGGCCGCAACGTGGGTGAGGACCGGAACCCGCATCCTTCTGGAATCTGGGAGGGAGGCCCTGAGCTGGGGCCGGCCAGGACGGCGCTTACTGGCGTCCGGCGTCTGCCGCGCGGAGCCTGCCCCTGGCTGCGCGCCTGCCTGCCTGGCGTTTCCCAGCAACGGCTACAGCCGCCCAAAACGTTCCGAACCCAGCGGCCCGGGTGATGTCATCATCACCTTGGAGACAGCAGATGGGAACACGCCCCCTCCAGGCACGGGGCGGGGTCTGGGCACCCACGCCTCTCTTCAAAGCCCCGCCCCCTCTCGGGCAGGAAGGGAGGCGGTGCTTCGGGCTCGGCGGCAGGTGAAACGGGAGGTGTGCAGGCCCCTGGGCGAGGCCTCAATGAGTAGCTGCCTCTTTTCTTGGTGCGCGCTGCCACCGGTGTGCTCACCACCCACCCACCAACCTCTCCGGTCTCCCCCGTAGGCCGCCCCTTTTAGCTGCTAGGACTGGCTCCTCTTGTCATTCAGGTCACTTCCTCAGAGATGCCGTCCCCAACCACCCAAGCTAAAGTAACTGCCGACCTTCTTGTGGGCTACTTGTCTTATTTCCTTTGCTCCCTTCTAAAATTACCTTCTCTGTTTGTAATATGTCTTCCCTGTCTAAGTACCATGAAGTCAGGGATAAATTCTGCCATGTTCATCTGTATTCCCTGGAAGGCATCTGGCATGAAGTAGGTGCTCAATAAATGTTAGGTGGATGAATCAGTGAATTCACTCAATCATTTCATTTCACACATGGGTGCATTTATTCGACATTTGTGCAGTGCCTTCTAGGCACTCGTGATAAGCAGTAAGGATACTGAGATAAACAAGACGGGGACTCCACCTGGAGGTGAGAAAAAGAGATAGATTAAAACTAACAATTATAATATGAAAAGTGAACTTTCTTTTCTTTTCTTTTTTTTTTTTTACCAAGAAGCTATTCTTTTTATTTTTTTTCCCAGTTATTTTTATTAGTTGGAGGCTAATTACTTTACAATATTGTAGTGGTTTTTGCCGTACATTGACATGAATCAGCCATGGATTTACATGTGTTCCCCATCCTGAACCCCCCTCCCACCTCCCTCCCCATCCCATCCCTCTGGGTCATCCNAGAGGGCAGTGGAGGGGAACACATGGTGAGGGGGTAACAGTAAGATGTATGGTCAGCCCAGGTAGGTAGATTTGCTATCTTAATTGCTCACATACACCAGTCTTCAGGGGGCAGGCTGCTTCCAGCTCAGAGCTCTGCTGCCTCAGGGGAACACCTGTCAGTGGAGCAGGCAATGATGAATCTGGGAGGGGTGTGGAGAACTGAGCCCTGGGCTGGTGATAAGATGGGAGCCCACCTGTTCAATAAAAGCAAACTGTGGAAAAGTTCCTACCTAACCTTGTTGGGGGTAGGGTGTGTGTGTGTGTGTGCGTGTGTGTATATGTAGGGGTGGACAATTGTTGATAAAGCCTCTTTCTGTGTAGAAGGGTAAACTCAATATTCAAAAAACTAAGATCGTGGTATCTGGTCCCATGCTGCTACTGCTGCTGCTAAGTCGCTTCAGTCGTGTCCGACTCTGTGCAACCCCATAGACGGCAGCCCACCAGGCTCCGCCGTCCCTGGGATTCTCCAGGCAAGAACACTGGAGTGGGTTGCCATTTCCTTCTCCAGTGTATGAAAGTGAAAAGTGAAAGTGAAGTCGCTAAGTCGTATCCGACTCATCACAACCCCATGGACTGCAGCCCACCAGGCTCCTCCGTCCATGGGACTTTCCAGGCAAGAGTACTGGAGTGGGTTGTCATTGCCATCTCCGATCTGGTCCCATAGCTTCATGGTAAATAAAAGAGGGAAAAGTGGAAGCAGTGACAGATTTTATTTTCTTGGGCTCCAAAATCACTACAGACTGTGACTGCAGGCACAAAATTAAAAAACACTTCCCTCTTGAAAGAAAAGCTATGACAAACCTGGACAGTGTATTAAAAAGCAGGAATATCACTTTGCCTATCAAGGTCTGTATAGTCAAAGCTATGGTTTTTCCAGTAGTCGTGTACAGATGTGAGAGTTGGACCATAAAGAAGGCTGAGTGCCGAAAAATTGATGCTTTTGAACTGTGGTGTGGAGAAGACTCTTGAGAGTCCCTTGGATAGCAAGGAGATCAAACCAGTCAATTCTAGAGGAAATCTACCCTGAATATTCATTGGAAGGACTGATGCTGAAGCTGAAACTCCAATATTTTGGCCACCTGATGCAAAGAGCTGACTCACTGGAAAAGCCCCTGATTCTGGGAAAGAGTGAAGGCAGGAGGAGAAGGGGGCGACAGAGGATGAGATGGTTAGAAAGCATCACTGACTCAGTGGACATGAATTTGAACAAACTCTGGGAGATAGTGAAAGGCAGGAAAACCTGGCGTGCTGCAATCCATGGGGTCACAAAGAGTTGGACACAACTGAGCAACTGAACAACAACATACTGAAGGGTAGGAAATGCAGAAATTATACTCACTCCCACCTCTGGGTTTTTGCGTGTCCTCATCTGCTTAACTGGCACTCCCCACCCCTGCCCATTGCCTGGTAATTGGCTTTTTGTTACTAAGATCTCAGTTGAAAACTCTTCTTCCCCCCTTGGGGAGATCTGCCTTGGCCACATTCTCTACCTGTCACTGTCACATGACATGTTTTCTAATTCCTACCCCAGAGTGGGAGAGTGGCCTAGTCAGGTGCATCACCCTTATTCCTCATCTGATAGTTACTATTTATTCATACCCTTCTCATTCTAGAGAGTCAGTTCCTTGAGTGTGATAGAGTCTAATGATCCCATTAGACCTTACCTTTGGGTCCATGCTGCCCAGAACTGGTCTGGCATGCAGCAAGTGCTCAGTGCTTTTTGAAAGTCTGGAAAAGGTCCTTTACCAAATCATCCTGGCTTTCCAGGCTGGGATCTGTGCCCTCCCCTTCCCAGGAAGCTCTGCACATTGTACCTGGTCTGACCGGGAGGAAGCGGCCTAGTCGTCTTGGCCATTGGAGTTCTCCTGGCTTGTGACCCTCCCTCCTTCCTGGGCCTGACTGGGCCGTTCTTCCACTCTCAGCAGATTCCACTCCAGGGTGATGTCCAAGAACCTCTATGTGGGGAAGCCAGAGGTGTGGGGCCAGCAGTGTGTGTATGTGTAGGGGCGTGGGGAGTAAGGAGACAGGGGGATGGCCTCTCTGGTTCCCAGCCGAGATGGTAGAAGAAGGGGCTGGCTTTTCAGAGCCTTCCAACACTGCTGTTTGCAGGAACACGGCAGCTAGAGATGTGGCTGCTTTTCCCCTAGAGTGAGAACCCAGACTCTGTACAGACAGACGCAGAGAGGAGGGGATAAAACTTTAGTTTATTAGACTGTATGCTTCCTCTTTGGGGTACAAAGTGAGAGGCCGTGGGGGTGGAGAGAATCTTTGGCTTCTAGGGACACTGGTGATCGCAGACTGTCTGTGTGAACTCTGTGCTGCCAGGATGACCCACTGAATGAGGGAGACGCTGATGACAGGGCCCTTCTGGGGCCCTAGTCAACATGTAACAGAGACCAATCCGGCTGGCCCTGTCCTTTGTAGGATTTAAAGAGCAGAAGGCTGAGAACATTTGACTTGTATTAAAAGAAATAAAGGCTGAAAAAGTGGAAGGTCGCTCAGGGGGCTCTATCACCAGCAGTGGCATGCAGACTCACTCATGTTGGTGTGCGGGCCAGGCCTGTGTGAGAAGCGTGTGTTTCTGTA